TCAAATTGTCTGGAGCCTTCCAATACACTGTCTCGAAAAGGTCGTACTACTTTGTTAAAGTCTGTAAACTTAAATTTAGAGGCAAAACTATAAAGTAAATCATAACAGTACACTGATGAAGTCATGCAATAAAAGTTTGGACACAGCATGGTAGAGTTGACGTGTCAGAATTAGTGGTGTGAAAGTATTTGAAAAGTGCAAGTAATATTGTGCAGTACCATTCAATTGGGTCTTTTGTTTGAATAACTCTAGGGGAATATTTTTTGATTGTTTAAAATTACAGCAAAATCTCAATAGTATCAAACAAACACGAGATAAAGGTATGATAAATATAATCCAAAATGCCAGAATTTGTTATATATAGACAGCAATCACTTATACTTTTTAAGGAGAGTCACCAGATATTTTAGGCCCATGGAAAAGTAGCTCCAGTGCGTTACATGCCACAAAAGTGCTACTGACATTCTTTTGGGCCCAAAATCTGAATGAAACATCGTAAATAGTGTAGTGCACGTGTGTGAGTGCATGTGTTATGTATTTATCACTGAATATATCATAGTTATCACCCAGTATCTGGAGTAACATGTCAGGCGAAAAGCCAGACAAACATCTTTAACTCTCCACTAAAATGATTTTCACTCTCCAACAGCTTTTTGAAAAACCTGGCTTAAAAATCACCACATTTTTGTGTTTAAAACTTGCTCCGCTTGCTAATTTCTGTAGACGAAAATTTTCCTGCCTGTTCGTGCTAGTTTATAGCTTTTCGCCGACTCAGCTAGAGAGTATCAAACAACAATTTTCATTCAAAGGATGTCTATAGGATGCACTCGATAAAATGATGTTTATGGCAAGCTAATGAGATAATGTAACTATAAATAAATTACTTTTTTATGTATATAAACTCATTATGGGATTTTGGCACGAGCCAAATTGAATAAATTTGTGAAATTCGATATTCACTGTGGAAGCATGTCAAAATAAAATGGCACAAATAATATGTCATAGCAGCCTGTTCAACATGCTATGAAGTAAAAACGATTAAGGTGCTCAAGATATATCGTCTGAAAAATAAATTTCAATTTCGTTTTTTTTAGAAAAAAGCTCAGTGTTCATTGAAAACCAACTTCGCTGGTCACTTAGTGGACTAAAAGTATTCATAAAGTTATATATATTAGCTAAAGATATGTGAAGTTACAGGGAAGTATTGTTTTTTGAACTCGAGAAATACTTTATTTTTTTCAATTTTGTAACACTGTAAACTTTTTGACGATGTAATGCAAGTGGCAACACGCGTTTGCAACAGCAGCCTTCAGCCCAAGCCCACTGATCTGGGATGTAGGCAGTAAACTTGGCACTGTCTATGAATGAAATGGGGTTATCATTGGCGTTTTATTGCCAACACAAGCAATACAAGCAATGTGGTCAGAGAGTGACAACATTCCAATGAGCCATCCAGCCATTACAGATTTACGATCATAACATGCTATTTTCTTCAGGGGGTTCTGCAAATGAAATAGGTGTGTTTTGTATATCTATATAACAATAAATTAAATAATATGCATTTAATAAGCCAGATAGAGCACTGGTGCCATTCACGCAATATACTAATAAAAGCTGACCTTTTACAATTGTTTAACTTCAAGTGCAATGCATTTCTTAGTGAACTTCTGTGACTTTGAATCAATCAATCATACAATCAAACGATCTCTCTCTCTCTCTCTCAATATATATATATATATATATATATATATATATATATATATATACATACCTATCTATCTAGCCGCCTACGACCTTGTGCACTCCTTAGCATATCATTAAAGGGATGTACACCCCAAAATAGGTATACATACCGTTATACATTGATTGGTACACTCGCAGCCGTTTCAATACATAGATATATGCCAAATATGATATGACGAGATATTTTTGTACAAATAACATAAATTAATGGTGTGGTAATGGAAAAACCATGACATGCATGTCACGAATGGGCTCACATGCATGTCACGAATGGGCTCACATGCATGTCACGTTCATGGTGTGCTTGCGGTTATTTTGCTATAGCTTGGTTTATACCAATATTAATATGACGTGACCATAGGTCAGCAAAACTTATGCAGCTCATTCAGACTGAGGCTCACGGCTTGATCTGAGTTTGATTGAGTCGACTCGTGGGTGAGTTCGTCAACCTATGGACGTGACTGCATGATGAACATAAAGAGCAAATGGTAACATGTAAGTTATGACATACAATCATGAACCACGTGATTTACATGCCGGGCTCTTGGTGTGCTTGCGGCAATTTCGCTAGCTTAATATACAGCGAAATTTGCATTTCATACCACTGTATGACCATAAATGACATTTCCTAACATGCAAATCATAATATCCAAGTCTTAATTGTACAGGATGGTTTCCTCCTTCCTGGCTGCTTCGCATTATGCATCGATTCCTATATACTGTGCATGGGATCTACCTTTTCTTTTTCTTTTCAAGAAGAGCATCCTGCTCCTTGAGAGCCGAAGAATGTCATAAAACTAAAATATAGTCTAGCCTTACGACGCTGTTGTTTATGTTACAGTAACATGATGCACTGCGAGTGTCAACGAAAGCTACTGTGCATGCTCCTCACAGCAGCCAACCCATGAGTGGCGCCATGTGTATGTGTCAGGTTGTTAGAATGGCATGTATGAATTGCTGTGTGAATATATATATAACAACTATATATATATAGATATGCACCTGCAGCAATGTTTTTCAGTATTCTGCTGTAACAATGCTTCAGAAACAGGCGGGAACTCTGGATTAGTGCCCACCGTGTCAGTTTACAGGTGATTTTGCGGGCACATTTATAAAGTACATGTAGCTATAGTTTGTAGTATGCTCCATGTAAATTAACTGATATTTTTAATGTGCTGAACCGAATGGCAGCCGGTAATGTGATCTAGAGTCTGCAGTCTACATTTCTTTGGCGGAAAATCTTCGACTGCAGATCCAGCAATTTTCTCTCGTACACTGGGGCCATTTTAGATGCCAAGCATGTTATGGTCGAGTTCAATGCTGTGTGCGGCGTGATCACCCTTGCTGCGCATGCGCGTCCCCTCCTCGTCTCTATTTTCTCCTACACTCCCCCCTCTCTCGACTCGCACCACCGACGCAAGCAGCATCTGATAGCGAGTTCCTTGATAAAAAAAAAAATGACTGCTAGCACTGCACAACCGTTCACTGGCCACCCCGTATTAGGCACTGGATATTGACCTCCAAGGTAGTGCTGGTGATAGATTTTTTCTTGTGCGTTGTTGAACAATGAAAATGAGCAGAGTGCGCTTATACTTAGTTAAAAGTGTACTGAGGGTCTCTGCATTTAATAAGAGTCTTGTGTCTCTCACCCATTAGCAGTGATTGACATGTTACAGTAAGAAACACCGGTCCATCACTGCGTGCTTAGCGCCTCGTCCCCAGGTTGATATCCTGCGCAACGTCGCGATGAGAGCCAGCGTCAACGGCGCCGCCTGTGTAAGCGTTAGCGCCCGCTGCTTCACACGTATGCATGGTTCCCTTTAGTGGAAGAGAGTAATTATTCTTCCACCATCAGTTTGTCTATCGGCGTGTATCGCAGACTGCGCAGCTCGTAAGTAGGAGCCGTACATTAGGAATAAGCCCTGCATACCTGACCAAATGCATCGCGTACCACGAGATTTTAAATATTTATTCCCCATCTGCAGCAGTTAACCTAAACAGCACTGCGTGCGCAATCAAAGCCACGCCACGTTAATCTATCTATGTAACTCTGTGACAGCTAAGACATCATGTGCAAAGATGGCAAGTGGCTAAGTTACTCAAGGACTCATGCAAATTCAACCTATAGCTGGTTGCGATCAACCTGCTATAGTTCCCAAAGTGAGCAATTAAAGAAATGTAACAGCTATTATCACATCAGGTATTGCCTCTCACTCACATAATAGCCTGCCAAATGTGAGCAGCTTTAATACACCAACAGGTGGGTACGATGAATAAGGCATATATCCTTTGATTGCTGCACATCATTTACTTATAGCCTTTTCCCAATGCAATGAAGCTTAATCATCTTTTGGTAATTGTCGTTTTGTCTGTTTGAAAAGGACGCGCCGAGAGGCATATTTGGCCTGAGTAGTCGCAAATGCTTATATTTGTTTGATTCACAAGAGGCCTGTGCATGCGTTCATTTCGTATCATGTAATGCTCTTCTGCTCACGCTGGCTTTATCGCAGTGCTTTGGCGATGCAGTGAAGCCTAATCATCTTTTTGTAATTGTCTTTTTGTCTTCCTGAAACGGACGTGCCAAGATGCATATTTGGCCTGAGCAGTCGCGAATGCTTATATTTGTTTGATGCACAAGTGGCCTGTGCATGCGTTCATTTCGTATCATGTAATGCTCTTCTGCTCACGCTGGCTTTACCGCAGTGCTTTCACAAGGCAGTGAAGCTTGACCATACTTGCTTTTACGTGTATTGCGACTTATCAAAGTTTTGTAATAGCTCAACTGTTGACGCTAGAAGTGATGCATTCTATGTGAAAGTTTTATGCTTAACTTCGGGGATTTATGTTTTCATAAAGTTTTCACAATATATCAGTAAGGTTGAGTTGGAAACTATGCATTCTTGGAAAACAGCCACGAACACGATGGAGACACGAGATGAGAAAGACTCAGTACTTCGCCTTTGTCTTGTGCCTCCGTCGTTTTCACGTTCATTTTCAAAGTATCTATCAAAATGCTGACAACGCTGTTTCACTGCCAGCAACCTTTAGCGCGCAAGAAAGGGAGCTAAATTTTCTCTCAGCCTGTAAACCAAGCAATCGCGGCTACTCTATGTGCAATAAATAAAAGACCAAAATTAAGAATGACCAGCTGATATTGATAACAGGTGCTCATAGCAGCACTTTTTTGCTGTGCACTTGAATTCCTGTTTATGTAATGTTATGGTCCGTGAATACACAATGACACTACTACAACCACGAAAAATTTTACTAACATTTATTTGTAAAATAACTGCTACAAAATAGAATTCTTCTCCCCTTCTTAGTAGTTGCATAATTTAGCTGGAAGAAGACAGCATCATCCAACTTCCTGACGACTTGACAACAGGGTGAGTCCACAATGTACTGGACCTGTACAAGATGAAGAAAACAGACGAAAAAAACAACAGATAAATCAAAGAGTTTAAAAAATGGCACCTGAAACTTTCAACTTGCCCACCACAGCCGTGAAAAGACTCCTGTTGTCATATGTATTTTCTGCCTGTTGGTCCGCGGGCACAAGTGCCAGTCTTGTTTATTAATATAAGCTGCTTAGCATCACTTCAATGCAAGACTTTTCTCTATCCACCACCCGAGAACGCGCTCTGTAGCGGTCAGGCTCCGCCTAGAGACTTGTGGCAGTGTGACGTTAATGTGGGCAATATATACAGACTTTGATTGCTTAATTTGTAGCAAACTCATTGTGAGAAAATTTCACACTTGAATTCATAAAATATTTGAATGTAGTATAACGCCAAAATGCTGAGGCTTTAGAACATTACAAACTCAGCCTGCCTACATTAACAATCCCAGTGCCACAGGCATGCAAGAACTGCTTGCATAATGATGAATCAACTAAACCATTTTGATATATTGACAGGTTTTCAAAAATGACTATTTTTGAAAATTTTATATTCATATTTTTCTCCTAAAGGGAAAGTTACTGTTGCTGAAAAGAAAAAAAAAAGCAAATCATATACAATATCTGATACTTTTTTTTTTGGAGTTTACAGCTGCACATGGTAAAAGGCTGCATGCATGAGTGTAGTGTGCCATTGATGGTATTATTTCCGAAATCCTTATTCAGTTGACATTTAACGATCAGCCTATGAATTTTCTTGTTTTTTTTATTTTTCATTCCGTGCATTAGATATGAATATATTTTAGTTCAGGAAAATTTGCTCAACAAAGGGAAGTTTTTCTACTTTTGGCAAAAAAACAAAACAAAGCAAGAACTAGTTCTAGAACTTTTATGAAAGAGACAGGTTTGAGGTTTGACGTGATGAGAAGTCAATAAAGAAGGAATGCCACAGAAAGGATTGCCTCAACAAAGGAATTTGGTTCGTTGGGGTAACATACATTTGGCAATGTTTTTATGTACTCCTAGTTAACGCTCCACCACTAGCTTACAACAAGGGAGAAAAATAAGGTGGTGCATGCAGAAAGCTAACTCATCACATAACGTGAAAATTTGACCCAGAACAAGAGAAGGAACAAAGACGAGTGCTCACCTCCAACAAGATTTATCTTGAAGAGCAAACATATATACTCTTGAAATGCAAAAAACAGACAAATCATTCAAAAAGCTCACAACTGCCATGCACGAAAACCTTACATCCTCAGGAAAGACAATTCGTTTTGACAAATCCTTAGAGAGAGAGTGAGAGAAAGTACTGATGCAGTTCAGCTCTAGTCTACAAATCTTTTTCGCCACAATTTCTCTTGTAGTTTTTTTTTTTTCCCAATGATAATGGTGTCACACAAAAGTGGTTTGGAGCCACACCTGCTGCAGTGCAAGGCCAAGAAATGATTGCGACCATTCTCAAGGTTACAAGCGTGTACATTGCAGCACGTGTGGCTGCAAAATGATTTTGCACGACATCATTATTGCTGGAAGAAAAAACAACAAATAAAATGACAAGAGAAATTATCGAGGCAAAGAGGATTTGTAGACTAGAGCTGAACTGCGTCAGCACTCTGTCTCGGTACGTAGGGCGCTGCACTGCTGTGTATGTACATACACTGCCCTACATCGCCCTACATACACTGCACTGCTGTGTATGTAGGGCGATTCATACGTGCACATCATACCCTCTTTTTCTGGGGCCGCGACCCGAGAAAAAAGGGGGAGAAGCGTTCGTCTTGAAATTTGACCCATTTCCGCGTCGCATAGAGTTGCAATGTTTGGCAGACGTGACCATAAACTCCCAATGTACGTACGCATTGCTCTTGTCAGCTCAAAATCGCCAAACCCGGTCAGTGGCCCTTTAAAGAAAAGCAAAAATTAGAGGAGGAGACATGAAGAATGGTTAGAAATTTTGCCATATGTCTACACCAAAATGGAATGCTATTATTAATTAGGAGAATGTATCTTTTCCTTGTCAACCAGAAAACATGATTGAGAACACACGAATACATTTTTGTCCAAGTTAGCTGCTAAAGAGCCGAGACAAGCTCTGTGAAATCCTCTTGAACAACCTGCACAAGTAATGTCCAATACTACCCCACTATATTGTGGTTGCCGGAAGACACAATGTAACTTGTAAATACTATCTCTTGGCTGTACGCGAGCAGCCATGGAGTTTATGAGGGGAAAGTCTTCGATCATACCATTCTGTATGCATTGCAGCAAATGTTTACGTAGCGTAACTTGGTTAAGGTTCAAAGTTTCTGGTTTTCTGCCTGACGCTATATAATACATGTTAGCAATTGCAAACAAGCCACAGTGAAGTGTGTTGCATTGGTTTTGTGCCTTCATTGTTTGAATGGTTAATGTTGGCGATTGTAATTTTAGAATATGACAGATTTGCCTAACAGCGTCAGGAGGGATATCTTGATCAATTGAATTATATATGAAGACTGTGTTTTTGTCCGCACCAACAATTGTTACTGTAAGCCAATGATTGGGGTTCTGAACATGCAAGATTTGAACGAAAGGGCCTTTGATTTGAGTGAATTGTAAGCGTCGGCCCAGTAAGACATCTTGAAAGTCGACATAAGTAGGATATTTTTTCTGAATTAAATACTGTGCGACATTGATTACGCTATCTGATATGGAGGTGCCCTGTACCAGAACATTTAAATCTGCATCTTAAAGAGAATACCGTTTGTCGACATTTAGCTTGTCTACTTTAACCGTTGCAAGGCCTATCTTTTTTCCTTGATTTGGGAAAAATTGACGCTTGACAGCTCTCACTTTTTTTGGCCGCCCCCTTCTTGCTTTAACCAAAGGTACCACAAGTTTTGTACTGTCAGAATGCGCAAGATAACTTGTGGCAGTAGTTTGTGGTAACTGAGCTGGTGCAGCCTTTATGGCTGCTGAAGTTTGGTTACGAGGAAATGTGGTTAAATTTCTGAAGAAAGCCTCGCAGGACGAAAGTTTTTCCATTAACTCCTTCTCACCACAATTAGATAATACGTTAGCCACGGTTTTTGACATTTCGCAAAGACTCCTATAAGCATAAGTATACTTCTCTTGTGCAGTGTCAAGCTTCACACAGGGTGGTGACTGAATGCTGCTTGTTACCACTGGTGTGGCACTAGTGGTTGTGCAGCTGTCACTCAGGAAATGATCCCTGCACCACCTGTCTGGTATGCAAGCCTTGTCGAAAAGATCTTGCTTAGTAAAGTCACGCACTGCTAAATAATGTGCACCAGGCAGAGTGTACTGGTCATAAAAAGCACATGTGCAAGAAGTCAAGCACAATGAAACACTGTACTGTGATCTTGGTGAAACTACAACATAAGAATTAGGAGTGGAAGTGACTTGATAACTTACATTTTTAAACTTCTCATACTGCTCTAGTACTTTACTTGTAGCCTCAGAAGTGCAATTATGGGACAATTCTAGCTGAAATGGGTCATTGAACTCATTTATGTTTAGGTTCAGCTTCATTTCATTAAGCTTAGAGAACTGTAGAGATAAAGAATCATTATTAATGTAACCTACCAATGCTTCTATTGCTTGAACCAAATGCTTGCTTGAAGAGAGATAATTTTTAATCTTTTGATTGTGGCACTCAATGCGATTATTAGTATTATTACAAAATGTAGGAAGGGCTTGCTGATATGCATGTACCCACATTTCCTTACACAAGTGCCAGTTATGCATATAGTAAGAAATGAAATCTGTGCAAGTCATAGCTTGGAGGTCAGCAAGCTTATCGAAGTAGTCTTGCTCAGTGGGGGAATAAACTAAGCTTTTAGGGGCGAAGCTCCTTAGGGCGTGGGCTGTGCGTCCCCTGTAGCCTGTATGTAGCCACCTCTAGTTTAGTTCTTGCAGTGTTCACTAGATGGCAGTACCGTCCCCTGTATGTAGCCACCTCTAGTTTAGTTCTTGCAATGTTCACTAGATGGCGGTACCGTCTCCTGTATGTAGCCACCTCTCGTTTAGTTCTTGTAGTGTTTACTAGATGGTGGTACTTGTAGCTGATGATGAAAAGATGCAAGATGTTATAAACTAGAAAGCGGTACTTGTAGTTGATGAAAGACGCGAGATGTTATAAAATAGGAATGATGTCACATATGGCGCATGTCATTGGTTGAAGGCAATCGTTCGATTTAGTGCGGCGACGTACGCTAGGGGGAGCGATGTAATAAAATCGAGTGGGCAAAATGTACAGAGGATTCATGGTTTACCAGGTTTACCTCCGGAGCTTCGCCCACTCATCATCATTCACATCGTGGATATGGCGGAATTTTTTTTAAGAGAGGAAGCAACTGATCACGTTGCTGTCTAGCTTTTTCATTAACCTTTTGCTGGAAACAATGCAACACATGCCCCGTACACAAAAGTATATTAGAATTAGGAAGAATACTGGTTAAAATGCGCAGTTCATTGAGATCTTTATCAATCATCACTACTTTGCAAGCAGACAACAAATGGGTTGAAATCTACAAACTTTGTGAACATGGGCTGAACAATTTCAGTCGTCTCATTTCGTAAGAAGGCATAACACACGTCTCCCACGACCACGACCATCTTGAACTAATATAGAGTAAAGAATATAACCCCCAATATTCACTTTACACGTTCCATCAATAAATAGAATCTCTGGATACTTTTCCAAAATCTCACGCATGTGCGTTGTTTGAAGAAGTATGAATTGCAGGTTATTATTTTGATTCATTTCATAGTGAATAACCCACTTTGGATTATTTTTTAGCAAGGTCTCTACCTTCTCTAAAACCATTTCACCATGAGCCTGCTCATTGCGGATAGGAATAGAAAATCGTTGCTTGTAATTATTAATGTCCTTTGTAGTTAACTTCTAACCAGTTTTTTGCTCGACCAAGTTTTTAAAATCCTTTGCGCCAATATTACATTTAGCCAAGTCAAAGAATTCTTCTTTTTCTCCATAATTCAGGGGCCTCTTCTGAGGATACAAATCATAATATTCTGTGGAATGGTTATGCTTAGCTTGTAGTTTAGTTATCTTGTAGTTCAGAGTAGGCGACTTACATAGGCTTACCGATACTGTCATTTCACAGCCAAGATAGATATGTGGGGTTTATCGTCCCAAAACCACTATATGATTATGAGAGACGTCGTAGTGGAGGGCTCCGGAAATTTAGACCACCTGGGGTTCTTTAATGTGCACCCAAATCTGCAGCTGTCCGCACCACCGGACAAATCTGGGCACACGGGCCTACAACATTTCCGCCTCCATCGGATGCAGCCGCCGCAGCCGGGATTCGAACCCGCGCCCTACGGGTCAGTAGCCGAGTACCTTAGCCACTAGACCACTGCGGCGGGGCATTTCACAGCCAGTACCATTGTAAGCTTGCTTTGGTCACTTTCCTATCGCCCTGGGCTTTATTGTGCGACCGTGAATGCAGCTATATTTAATCCTAATATACTCGAAGTCCTTATCTTCTGATGTGAATGGACTTTTATTACTTTTATTTATCATGACTACATGCCTGCCCTCCCTGCACCACTCATCAAAGCTTTTCCTAAAAGAAGGAAAGTTATCGAATGTTGCATTTAAATAAACTTTGCTACCCCCACCATATAGTGTGTTTACTGGGTTATTGAGGACAGTTGGGTTGGCACCAGTGTTTACACAAATAGCCTGGGCACCAGGGCTGGCAGGCCTGCTCCAGGATGTCAAAGCAGCCTCACAATACTTGTACTGCACAGCTGCAGTGCACCCAGCTTCCATAGGGTCACCAGCCTCTGTGCCAGGATCGCGCTCAATTCGCATGCAATCCCGAGTCAGTGCTGGTAGATGGCTTTTGCAGACAGAAACCTCGTTCATAGCGTCATTCATGACATATTCACAGTGAGTCGCGGAACTAACTGAGCAGTCTTTCAACTGCTTGCTAGGAACACGCTGCACCTTTTTAAAACTATCACGAATGACCTTGTGCGAGACACTGGCTCGTCCTTCAGGCTTTCTACCACAGACAGCGGAAGAAGCAGACTGAATCTGTTTCTGGCTCACAACTGCTGTCATAGGTGAAGTGGACCTGATGGGCTTGGCAGCTGTCACAGCGAGAACTTTGCCTTCACTGTCTGCACACAGTTTAGAGCTCTGTTCTTGCTTGTGCAGTGCCGCAGCCTTCCGCTGGCTCTTCTTTGACTGCACCAGTTTCCACTCACTGTCGCCACACTGGCCGACAGCCTGTGGCACAGCTGCTTTTCCAGCACTGGCCTCCTCTTCCCCCACAGAAGAGCGCACAAGAGCACTCTCATGCTCTCGTGAGGCTCTCCTTATTTTCCTGTTACAAGTGGTGCTTGCACCTCGACTAGGGATCATTGGCTGAACAGGCTTCTCCCCAGTGTTTCCCTTGCATGGTACACTTGTGCCATGAAAAATGGGGGAAGGCAGGCTGTCCCAGGTCCACCAAGCCTTGCTTCCCTTGCAGTGAACGCGGACACCGCCAACGAGCGTAAAGCCAATACCATGAATGGTACTGGCCAGTTGGTCAGTGTCGTGTCTCTGCATAAGAGCACTGCTAGTTTTCCAGACAGGAGCTGGTGCAGCGGAAGGTCCACCTACTGCTGGAGAATATTGAACTGCATGCATACCGAGTGCAGGAAAATCGACTTCCAAGTTAATGGCAAAGTGCTCCTGCCGAGCCCACCCACTCCATGCAGATGCCTTGGACTCCTTGTAGGACTGTTGGATGCGTCTCCTCTCTAGATGGGTGAACAAGGCACAGGCTTCTCGGTGCAGGAAGTCTGCCAGCACCTTGTTGCCAAGCCGGCTGGGGTGGACACCATCCCTGCTCAGGAATCCAGGCCAGCTGTCCACAAGACTATCCAGGATAGTGAAGCCCCTCTCCAGGCAAAGCTGTGCGAGTGCGGCATTCACATTCCTGTAGTGGTCATTCAAATGACAAACATTAGACAACTGTTCCCCTTCGCGGTACCGATTCTGCCCCCGAGGAAGAATGGCAGAAAAAGCTACATGCAACGTGGGATTGCTTTCGATGATTCTCTGAGCGAGCTGGCGATGTTTGTCCATGCACATGTTGACACTGTCAACAGTGTTGTTCGTGCCAACATGTACAATGACAACATCAAAACTGGCCAGCTTGTCAGCAATCATTGAGAGCAAGTGCTCAATCCTTATTTCTCTGTGTGCGGCAACGCTAACAGACAAGCCACGGCGTGATGGGAAATTTTGGTCCACGTATTTCACCATCGAATCGCCAGCTACTAACACACGCGTCATGTTGCGCACACTTTCAATTCAGAATTACACCATGAAAAAAAAAAAGAAACAAGAAAGTGAATATTTAATCTAAAACACGGCTGTCAATTACGCAAATGCACTACGACACAAATACGAAGCACGTTAACACGGATAACCAAAGAAAGGGCCGCGTACAGATACTGCTAAATCAGCCTATACGCGAAAAATCACAAAAATACATATTGGGATGGATATAAACAACATTACTAAATATAAAATAGCAGTAAAAATGAGCGGTTGAGCTTAGATAAAGATGATGTTCGAGGCTTGCGAATATGTAGCAGAACAAGGCCTGTAGACAGCTCGCAGAAGCAGCAACCAGCCGTACTCCAGCAGCAGCAGCAGCAGCAGCAGCAGCGAGCGTCTGCTGAGCAGCTGAGTCACGTTCCGATTCGGTAAATTCGAACAACGTGCTAACTCGAAAACGACGTATGTCGTGACGATTTTTGTGACGTCACTTCCGTGCGGCGCAGGAGTTTTTTCTGTGTGGGGGTGGCTCGTTCGCCGCGCAGCGCAGCAGTCTCTGCCTATGTTTTATCTCCGCAAGAATTATGCTGTCACCGATGATGACAATCTGTTTTTTAGCTGTTTCAGTTTTAATAGGTGTATACAAAGAAAAAAAATAAAACGAAAATTTATTGCTGGGAGCACTGTACAGCTCAAAATTCCGACCCCCAAGCATTTTTTTTCTAAAATTGGTCGTCATTGCCGCAACGCAGTCAAGTTGTGCGGCGAAGTGCACGCAGTGTAGAGTGGTACAGCATACATAGGCGAAAGTATGTTTTTAATTTAAATGTACGTAGCATTGTCATCAGACCTCGTGTGTGTGCCTTTATTATACACGCGCCGTCTCCTGTCTTATTAATGGCGATACGGTGGACAGCATCGCCACCGACTTCAGCCTTCGTAACGAGCCCATAACCAATTACCCTGGAAAAACATTTTGTGACAAGCAGTTCGCAAGGCAATAAACTGCTAACTTATTGTGAAATTAATTCAAGATTGTTGCATGACATTTTTAAAGAAGTGCTAAATACCTATGATAGACTCCAATGATTGAAAACTTTATGTGCAGTTTGTCAGTGAAGCAGGCTGACCTTTGCAAGAAATTGATTTCTGGAAACCACATTGTGCCAGAGCTAAGAGCAAGCTGGTTTCAGCCCACTTATGCTTATGGTGACCCAAGATGATAGTACATGTTCATGCATTTTACAGGGGTTGCTTGTTGGCGAGGTAGGGTAGTAATTATGCAAGTGGCTGCCATCAGGTGTGGAGACGCATTGCATTCCAATTCTTAAAGAGGTTCCTATAAAGGGCCAAGCTCAAATTTCTTGACAGGATTAGCACACAGCAAAGCTTATTTAAGCCTCCATATAATAGGGTTACCACTAAGACTTGCAGCTACCTTAAATGAGCTGGTCAATTTTTGAAACAGCTCATAGGTTAATAATTGTTGAGTTCACAGTGAATCTTGCAAATTGAGGAATTAGAAGCAATGAAATTATAAAAATGCCTTGTTTGTAATGCATACAGTCTTAATGTCAAATGAAGTTTCCAGGAAAGTGATTTTACTTTTGCTGATGCTTTTGCTACCAATATTGTAGTCTATATTTACTGGTGTTTAGCACGGTGTAGCTCGTGCCACTGATGACAATCTAGTTTTTCTGAGGTAAACTTCCCAATAAAAAAAATAACATCAATTGAACTACATACTTTCTTATAGTTTAATCGGGCACACCATAGAGGTAATCTGGGGCTCTTTAGTGGATTCTGTGGGAGAGGTCTGTGTACAGGATATGTATGGAAATCTTTCAGTGCTCTAGCTTTGTTTGTGTGACACTTGCAACCTCTTTGTCTATAAAAATTTCTACTGGGCCAACAAGCTCCAGCACCAGGTTTGGCCCTTAGGTAAAACAGGTGGTAAAAGTGAGGTCAATCATAAGCTTTTCAGGAGCACCAATCCAAGGATCTAGTACCTACGGGGCAAAACATCCAGTGTACCAAGAAGGGCATGAAAAAAGGGTGCAGGTCACTTCAGGAGGGCATTTCCTGGCCATCATCCTTTTGTAGCCATGAACTTGTAATATTAATGTTTATCACATTCTACAAACAGATGACAGACTAGGTACAAATGTTGCTTCTCTATTGCAAGGTGGCACGTCAGACATTCACACAGTACCCTCACTACAGGCCTTTACATTTACTTGTAAATATTTCTTAGCACGGTGTCCCTTTCTCGTTCCCACATAGCTGTTTCAAGTGAAAGTATGCAGCTTGTCACAGTCAATCTAGCTGGTGCCATGCAAGGACAACTCCAGCCGTCATGATGTGTACTCTTGTCACTGGAGCTATCAGACACAGTAGAATGAAAGGCTGGTGTGCATGCTTAAAACGAGTGACCACTTCTGCTTTTGTGCCCTGCACTGGTTCGTACCTGTCGTACACTTGCATAAGATTGTGATGACCCTTTCCAAGAGGCTTTAGTTCAAGCAAATGCTGCTCTTGCATTCACTTAAAGTGTCAGGCAACACACCATTTTGCCCACCTTTGATAGCTTTTACTTATCAACTTTATAGTTTTTCAGGGTGGTCACTGTACAGAAAAAAACTTTATTTTTTGGGAGCACCACGTTTTCAAGTTTGCAAGACTCCACTGAAGCACTTGCAACAACCCTTTATCTCATGTATGTAAGACCTATTTTAGAGTATGCTTGCGTAATCTGGGATCCCTATCAGCAATACTTGATTGACGCATTGGAAAAAGTTCGAAACCAAGCAGCCAGATTTGTAAGCAACAACTATAATTCCTTTGCAAGCATCACAGAAATGAAACGAGCATTGAAATAGGACACACTGATGGTAAGGAGGCAGAAACTCAGGCTTAAATTTCTTCATTGTATATATTATAATGGAAATGCCATTAACCCTCTTGATTATCTGTTCACACCAACGTACGTCTCTAATCGTCAGGACCATTCACGAAAAATATTACAATACCGTTACAAAACCCACTCTTTCGGTAGTTCTTTTTTCGTAAAAACAACACAGGAATGCAACCGTCTACCGGATGATCTCGTCAATGAAACTGATAATGAATCCTTTTTTTCTTCATTGTAACAACTCCTACAATATCACTGCCACTAAGAATCGTTTGCTGTCTCGAAGCGTGTGCGTGTTTTCAAATGCATGACTGTGACGTTGTTTTCACTCACCAATATACGAGTGTTTTTTTTTTCTCTTAAAATATTTTGAGTGCTGTTTTATTTGTTGAATCTATTGTTTTGATTGAAAACTACGTAGTTAAATTATTATGTGTACGTCCCTTACATAATGCCTCATGGCGATGTAGGTGAAATGTAAATAAATAAATAAATAAATATGCAAACAGTGACGTGCTGAACTTCAGCACTTTTTTGTTCTAACAAACGTATAAGTGCTTGTCATCTTCAGCCTGCCATCATGCATGAGCTTCAACATATGCTCTGTTGTCATCTTGTGTCAATGATGCCGCATACATTCCAATAGTTTGAAAAAGCTTTTAACTTCGCAAGATGGTACAGCTTCAGGGAGAGAATAAAGGGCAGAAGTGACTCACATAACACAAGAAACACAGGACATGTGCTAACTTCCATCTGTCCTAATTTTTTATAAGTGGCTTTTCTAGGAGGTATGTAAGTAAATAGACACATTTACAATATGGCACAACGCAATGTCACAGTCACTTAACATCAAAAACACCACAAAGCAATGCTCAAGAAACATTTCTGCATTTCTAAGTGTTAACAAATGTGTCACCAAGACACACACGACCCGAGGCTGGAATCTTTATCTCATATTTGACCTCAATTGACATGCTCGGCTACTCGCGCAGCAATAAGACAGATTTTTCCGGCCACTCTGAAGATCCTGTAAGTTCACTCCTTACAATACCTCTCCACCCTACCAGTGATCATAGGGCCGATATGATTCATTATATTATTCATGCACCTACACAACTACAGTTGTCAAACATGAATATAGGTGAACCTTACAATGGCATGTATGAAGGCCTTGTTAAAATATTTTGTGATCACGACACAGGAGCCTTCTCTAAAAAAAATGTATAGCAACATCGAGATTTATATGCACCAGGAAAAATTTCAACACGGCATATGTTGTAAGGATGTACAAATATTCAACAGTATGATACATTGCGTGCCAGGTGGCACATGATCAGAAAAGACATGAGAACTCATATAGTGTGCAGCTGACTACTTTACTCTAGGAAAAGGACTTTCCTAGCTGCACAATAATTACTTACCTTTCCTTAAGAGTTATTAGATTTTAAAGGGCCTCGTTAGTTTTTACAAATGCTGAACCTTTGCTTTTAATATTTTTGGAGTCTTTGCTGTACCTGTGTGAGTTCGACAACGGACTTAATCTACTTGTTTTTTTTTATTGCATTGGAAATCATACAAGCAGCAGGGAAAAGGCAATGAAACATTTTCTTCTGTCAAAACTTATTGCCAATCGAGTCTTATACTTAGGATCACATGCTGAAACAGTAGCTGATAACAAATGGGTGTGTTAGCACCAGATTCTGTCATAACTTAGCACAAGGATGAAACACCTGAGAGGCACCGTATGGATCACGGTTTAATGAGGCTTTAAGTTTTTTGTGAAAGAAGGGCCACTTCTGAGTGACAACTCCTATTACTGTGCAATAAGCAAAGAAGAAAATGGCGATGTGCTTTTGTATGCCAACCATAATTTTAAGCCTAATTAATGGTTGTCTGAGTGGCAGCAGGCAACATACAACAGTAAAATGACTTCAAAACTCAGTTCGAAGGCGTCCGCACCTGGCGTCATCACATGGTTGTTGCTGTGATTTGCAAACTCCATTAAAAGATACACATCCTACTCAAATCATGAAAGGATGCTTGATTCTATATTTCAGGGCCTGTCCAAATCAGGCAGGTATACATCACAGAAAACAAGTAACCAATTGCTATTACAACTTCTTCGAATTGTAACTGATTACAGAGATCATATACAGCCTCAGCCAAATAAATTAGCACATACAAAAATGTAATCAATTACTGTAGCCTTACTTTCATTAAAAAGGTTTTATCATATACTATCATTTATATATATATATATATATATATATAAAATTATATATATTATTGTGCACCATCAATAACGCCCACTTTTCAATTATCTGCACGGTAGTATTAAACCTTGTTCACATGTGATTTTAAGCGTAACCAATCCAACTACTCGATTTCAATCTTCCAAACAAAACATTAAACGATCATCCTTCTTTACTCACTCTTTTTAGTCATAAGCTAGTGCTAAGTTTTTATTTTATCACAGCTAGTAGTATACAATTGACACATGCATCAATCTTGCATGTGTACACACAACCTCGACCTTGCTTTGACATCTTACCCTGACAGTGTACATAGCGACCACGAAGAAAAAAATTCAAGGGTTTTTAAGGACTTTCAAGGCCCCAACTAAGGATTTTCAAGGACTTGAGAAATAACATTTTTCTAAGACCGTAGGAAAACAACAATTTTTTACAGCATGGAAGCACATATTTTACTGTAAGGAAAAAAATGCAAGCACAATTTTCATATATGCTGGTTTCATTGCACTGTTTTCTGCTGATTTCAACATCCATTTTGCTGATTCACCTCACAATTGTACTGCACACACATACACCCAAAAGGGGACTAAGTTTCATTGTACTGTTTTCGGCTGATTCACCTCACAATTTAGACGCATTGCACACACGCACAAAAAGGGACTAGGTTTCATACCACTGTTTCCTGCTGATGTCAACATCCCTTTTGCTGATTCGCCTCAGTATCTAGGACGTATTGCACACATACACACAAAAGGGGCCTATTTTCAAACAGTGGACTCGAGATATTAAGTACCCGAAGCTTCCCTTCACGTTTTCTTGTTTTTTCGTATCCTCCAAGTAGGCTCGATAACGGTTGTGTGCGGCTGCGACAGACTTCCGCAACTCCTTCGCTATGGCAACGTTCAGGATGCCACCAGCCTTGCTTACAGCATCACAAACGATTCGCTGTGACACATATGAGATGTCCTTAAGGTTTTCGACAGAGACCTGGCGGTTGACGCCGAAGCCTCTTTCAACAGTTGCCTGCCCGTGGTTCAAGATGAGAAGAAGCCGGATAACCTTCCACAAGTGCATGTAGGATAAGTCACCCTTCAACAACTCAAGGTAGAACTCGTCCAGGCCAAGAGTGTGTTTGTCAAACTGCCGCAGGTTGTGTTTCTTTTCTTGCAGAAGTTGTGTATTCCCCAAGGACAGAATCGCGCTCATGCTCACCCAATCGACCAACTGCGATAAGTGCGTCTAGGACCTTTCTGAAGCCTGCAAGGCAGTCATCTGGCTTTGAGGCCATTTGACGGGGATCAAGAGATGACAGGTTCCTAACCAGATGGTATGTCAGTGGGCTTTTCTCCAGAATCTTCTTGGTTGTGCTTACAAGAAACTGTTTGCATTCCATCCTAAAGGCAAATACATCTTTGGCGCTCACCTTCGCGGCTTTGAGTACTTGTTCAGCAGCGTGCCCAATATCAGCTTTCTCTGATGATACATGGTTATTTGGGTCTGCGACGTCCATCTTCAGCATGCCGACAACTCCTGTGGAAGCGGGCAGCACCGAGCACTTCACGAATCTCGCAAGAAGCTTCCTCACGAGGCACTCGAGATCTCTTTTCAAAAAGAACACCAGTGGTTTGTCCAGCTGATATTCCGTGAGGAACAGTTTTAGAATCATCGCGATGCCCATAGCAAACTTCAGTTTGGCCAACAGCAGTGGGTCCTGGAAAAAGTCGCTGAGCTGGATGAACGATGCTCACTTTGGCAAGTTCAGCTCTTTCTTTTTTGCACATGCGACGTACTTTTGCACGTCACCCCAGAGGGTTATGGCACGTTCAATGACGGGAACATTTTCTACCCAGCGATGAGGAGCGAAGTTGAGAGGAAATGTTACTTGGCCTGTCACAGTAGAGAAGTCTTCCCTTCGCGCTGGCGCATCATGAAAAATGGCACTGAGGCTTGAAAGGAGATTCTCTAGGCCCCACTTGCTGGCAAGAACGCCCGCCCTGTACGCGTTATGTATGGTATGAAGTCCGCAAGTGCCCAGGTCCCAACACTGAACTTGATGGTTCTGCTGCAGGTATTCCTGCATTCCTCTAAAACACTTCAGGTTTACATTGGGGCCATCCATGGACAGCTGAACAGCTCTCGCCAGCGGCAAATCTTCCAGGGCACCCAGAAGCTTCTCTTGAAGGTCTTCGGCAGTTGAATGTCCCACGAACACCGACGTATAAAACCTCGTGGTCAACCGCTCGGGCATTGAGCTCCAGTAGCACACATGAATGTCCATTTGTTTCCTCTGCAGGTAGTCGTTCAAAGACCCGTCGAACAGAACGGTGTAACCGTCCGACTGCTCCAATTCGCGTTGCAGGCACGAGAGAAAAAACGGTCTCAGACCATGGTACACCACGTATGCAGATTTCCTCTCACTGCAGGAGAATGCCTTAGCGATTTCTCTGTCCGGGAACATTTTCTTGAAGAGGTCCCCCGTATGTGCGGACGATTTGTAGGAGTAGTGCACCGTGACCATTTTCAGGGTCCACAGTATCTCCGCGTCGACCACACTCTTATGAGCTTTGCACAGGCTGCTCACATCCGACGACGTTGAACTTGAAGGAGTTGGCTCGACGCGTTGCTTCTCAACAGCTGTGAAGTGGCTCCGCACAGTACTATGAGCTGCGGTTGCTGTCATGTTCTCCACATGCTTTGCGCTTTTCATGTGACTTTTGAGGGCAGACTCCCCCATTGACGACACGTCGAATGTTTTTGCACATACCTTGCACTTAGCTCGATGCGATTTCGATGTGTCCGGAGAAATCCACTCTTTATAAGCAGCACCGATTAACCACGCGTGCTGGAAATTACATTTTCCCGGCATATTGCAGCTGCAGAAGACGACTTGGACTATCCACAGACCATGTTTCCCACTACACCGATGGGTAGGTTGGTCGCGGCTACCGCTGCAACCACGCCAGACTGTCGCACTGCGCAATAGCTACAAGAATGGATTGAATTGGATGCGTCGCTTTATTCAGTACATAGTTGCCAGAGAATTTATAGTTGCCAAGCAGAATTCGCTAAAACTGGCTAAACCGAAGCCTATTGACGAGATTCAATGAAATTTAGGGACCTGAAAAAATTCAAGGGTTTTCAAGGCCTTGAAAATGCTATTATCAAATTCCAGGGTTTTCAAGGGTTTCAAGGACCACTACGAACCCTGCCTGATAATAGGCCATATATTATGTTCTTGCTTGGGATAAGTTATCAGTGCATACCCACATTATGATTTATTTATTCATGATACCTCAAAAGTTCGGACGTGTGACTGTGCATGAGGGTTGGGCACACCAAACAAATGGCTAGTCTGGTTAGAATTTTCAGAGATGGTCTTCAAAGATTGCTTTGAAATGAGAAATATATTGGTAATTAGGGCATCATCAATGGAAGTCTCTAGAGGATAACCATATCTTTAGGTTCACAAGATTCTACTGAAGCACTTACAACATATGCAAACAACAATATCTTTAATTTCAGCACTTTTTTTCCCAACAAAGAGAAACTGGTTGTCACCCTCAGGCTGTGATTATACAAGAATTTTAGCATATGCCCCATTGTCACTTTTGTCAATGATGCCACATACGATGCAATAGTTTAACAAAGCTTCAAAGTTGGCACAATAGTACATAGCTTCAGTGAGGGAATAAATGAGACGTACATAAAACGAGAAACACATGACATGTGTTAGTTTCCATCTATCTGTATTTGTTTCTTTGCCAGAAAATATGTAAGAAGTCAGACACATGCGTAGTATGGCAATGTACTATGTCACAGTCTTTTAACGTCAAGAAGCATCAGAAAACATTGCTCAAAAAATTTTTTACCCTCCGAAGTACTAACGGATATGTCACTAACACTACATACATCACTCCCATCTCAGCATGAAATGCTTCCAACAGTCTACATGCCATTCTATCACAACCCCTGCCTGGAATCTTTATCGTATATTTAATCTTGACTGACATGCCCTGCAACCCACGTAACAATAAGCCAAATTTTTCCATCAACTCTGGGCAGCATTTACTTCTACCAACTCGCCTCCCATCTTCATGTGGTCATAAGCCAAATAGGGGCTAATATATCAATCACATAGCTACACAACTATGCTTGCCTAAATTAAAAAAGACAAACAATACAACTGCTTTGTAAAAACAAGAGTAGGATGAGTAGAACACTTTCTATGAAGGCTTTGTTAAAACATGGCACATAAGCTTTTAGTAGGAAACATGTAAACACAGCAGGAAAAATTATATGCACAATAAATTTCCAACTTTGCAAATGTTATGAATGTGCGCAAATATACTGAATTATTGATCATACCGAAATAAATGGTTCTACAATGAAAATTAAAGGAAGCTTCAACTGCAATACAAACAACTGTGTCTAGTGCTAGAATTCTCATCTTGCAAATCTCAATATATAGGTCAAACTCAAATGACATTTAGATTGTTTAAATAACCACAAGGCACATGTGACCAGATATCCTAACCTGCCCCTTTTAAAGATGTCATTTGCTTGATCAACTTACAACAACAATATTAGAATTTGGTTTTCGATCCCACCAAAAAAGAGAGCTGTGTGAATCCATAATTATTTATAAATTCAGGGCCGTATCATCTGGTATTGATGAAAGTGTTGGAAAGCTGATATTTCTGACTACATAATAGATGAGCCATTCTTGCATACATCTGCTAACTAACCTCATTTCCTATGCTTGTTATAGACCTTGTTTTTACCAGATTTTGCAGTGCACCTTGTTGGGTTCATTGTTACCACTGTCGATGCTTCTATAGTTTATATTTTACCTTTTATTTTCTAGTTCGTTTACGCTTGTTACCATCAGCACACTTAATTTCTTATACACATTCACTGCCTGTTTCCACTGCTGTTGCATTTTTTATTGAATTCCTTCCATATTTAAGTTCTTGCTTCTATAAGTAAGCCTGCTTCTGTGCATAGCCCATACTTTGTTGTTGAAAACTGTGTCTTGCTTGCAGTTTTTTCATGCAGACACAACTATATTGAGCAAGTACCTATGTTTAATTCTAGTTGCATGATGACTCTCATTAATTCAAACTCGAACGGACCTCTGAACTTTCTTCGAATTATCAAGGAGTTTGAATTATCATAAGTTCTCAGATAGATGACTCAGGGTGAGGTCACACCGCACATTATGATTAGGCATTGATTTTATCAAAAAAATTTTTCTAAGTATTTTTAATCCCTAACTGCAAAAGAGGTGTAAGTTTCACAAGTGTATTGATCATTTACTGCTGATCACACCTTTTAAGGAAATCGTGAATTGCCAACTGCTTCTTTGCTATACGTATGTATGTGCCTTCAGCACAAAGTTCTCTATGCCAGTTTAAAAACATTACCATTTGCCATGCGTGCGCTTTTTTTCAAACATTTGTTTCCTAGCAAATTCTTTTTTCCTAAAGACCTGAGGTGCCTACTTTTCATTTTTAGACTGTTAGAATTATATAAGCACAGAAATTTTTAAATTTTAGTGCACGAGAAAGCAGAAAATATTTTCAGGTACGAAACTGCAAAAAGTATGAAATAACCGAATGATTGAGTTTGAAATTAAAGGCTTTTAAATATATTGAAAGAATACAGGGTCAACTAAAAAACTGAATTTTGTTTGAATAAACCAAAAGTATGAATTAGCAGAATTTGAATTATCGAGAGTCTACTGTATAGCATATCTATGATGATAATAGTTAAGCACGTGTTGGGGGCCCCCGGTGTACTCATGTGTATAAGAAGCGCGTTTTTGCTTGTGCCCAGTATCCCCCGATGAAGACAGGCCCTCCTGCCGAAACGTTGGAAGCAAAACATTTTCACATGTTTGTCCGCCACTTCTTAATGATCCAGCACGTACAAAGCACTGGATCTGCAGAAACACTTCTGGATTTGTGTGTGTATGTGTGTTATTTTTTACAGCTCTGTAAGTCCTTGCCGGCTGTTATAAGTATGAGAGGACATTTATACATTACTATTTAAAAAGCAGTTCAAAATGTCCCTACAAATCTTCAGCTGGTTGACAATTAACAAATTCACTTAGATCAAGCCTAAGTCTAGAGAAACTGAATCATCATCATTCGTCACGAACTCGATCACGACGGACATGTTGTGTGGCAGGTTCACGAGTCCATTGTTTGCAGGACAGAGCCACGACTGTGATGCAATGTTTATTGACGGTCTCCACAGCGCATTTAATGTGGCCTGCGTCGTGCACCGCCTCACCCTCGATGAGACACTGCGATGATTTCCAAGCTTTTGTTCATTCTTGTAGATGAGGGAGAAAGGCATGTTTGCGCCACCGCGGTGGTTGAGTGGCTAAGGTACTCGGCTGCTGACCCGCAGGTCGCGGGATCGAATCCCGGCTGCGGCAGCTGCATTTCCGATGGAGGCGGAAATGTAGGCCCTTGCGCTCAGATTTGGGTGCACTTTAAAGAACCCCAGATAGTCGAAATTTCCGGAGCCCTCCACTAAGGCGTCTCTCATAACGATATGGTGGTTTTGGGACGTCATACCCCACATATCAATTTGAAAGGCATGCTTATTTAAATATCGAAACACCTGAGATAATTAGTATCGTATGGCGAACCTGCAGATGATGAGCGAGAACACTCGCACATAGTTTCGCTTTCTTTCCAGCTGTGCGGTCGGTGACGTCGGCGTGCTTGTCAGCCACCCAGAAAGCTTTTTGGCCATGTCGAATGGGCCGCAACTAAAACAAGTTCAGAATTGCACTCGAAAACATTCGTTCCGGGCATTAGTTGAGCTGCACGATGCTGTTTATCCTACAAAGTTCCCGCCTGAGCAGATTATCCGCGTACAGGAGCATCGGCTGTTGCAGTGCAGTTGAGAAAACACTCCCCACTCTTACGTCACGCCCGAGTGAACGCCACTCCAAAATATCGAGGCAAATCTCAAAGCTAAGCTAAATGCCCTTGTAGAGTGCGTCTGGCACTTGTGCAACTGCTGCTCGGGCGTATCCAAGCGGTTGTTGTCTTGACGGCACGCCAGCACACAGAGAAACAGCCGCGCAGTCGGCCACATATAAAGAACAAGTCCTCTCATGCATCCTACATTCTAAGAAGTAAATGAGGAAGTCGAGGCAGCACCTTTAGGGGAGTAACTAACCTGCCACAGCCATTCCTCCTTTTAGGTGTAATTGCGAAGACACGAACTATTACCCCCTCTATCGCAGCAACAGTTACGTTTTGTGCGTAAAAAAAATTAGATCTTGGTTTACTTGGACAGCGCAAATAGTGAGGGGACTAATAGCCACCAGTTGCACCTTGATGCCACTGGTTAAATAGTTAGAAACTCGTGTACACAAGATGTCACTGAAGCTAATGTTTCGACCAGTGAACTTGTCTTCATGAAGTGGAGCACCGCTCCTCTTTATGCTTCAATTATCACTGACCCCACCCTTTCAAACCACTTCATTTTGTACCAGTATTATTTTTTAGAAGACTTTTGCTGAATATTTGGGAAAGCAGTAAGAAGTGCTCAACCGGAAGTGCTTAAGGTGAAAGGAAAATGTCACTCTGTACTCGCACCTCTAACGATTGTTAAGGACGGTGGAGCATCATTCACACTGTGTTGTGGCAATTATTGATTCGGCTATCTATGCAGGCATTTTCAAAGTTTTCATTTGCAATGATTGTTGATTGCCTTCTTTTTTAATTGTTGGGCTATTTCGTTTCCTAGTCAAGATTCTTTTTTTTATTTTTGACCTTATGACACTTGTCATTCTTAGAAACCATATATGTCATGCTTGCCTTGTCACTAACACTTCACATGCCCCGCCACAGTGGTCTAGAGTTTAAGATACTCGGCTGCTGACCCGCAGGTTGTGGGATCGAATCACGACGGCACCAGCTGCATTTTCGATAGCGGCGAAAATGCTGTAGGCTCGTGTGCTCAGATTTGGGTGCACGATAAAGTATCCCAGGTGGTTGAAATTTCCGGAGCCCTTTACTACGGCATCTCTCATAATCGTGTGGTGGTTTAGGGACGTTAAAGTCCACATATAATCATCATAACTTATGCTTCACTTCAACACACATCTTGTGATTTGCAGTAAAGCCAGAATTTGACACTCGTTTGTGCTAAGAACATGCCTAATGGCTGCACTCTGGATATCGGCCTTGTCTTCTTGCTTGCACTTCAGCAGCATTATGGGCACTAATAACAATATTCGCCAAAGTTTGAGGCATTTTTTTCTCCAAGAGATTCTAAATTCTGTTTTGTCTGCACTAAACAGGCTCCAAAACACAGTTTATTGTGTTTCAAATCTGCTCCAAAAGTGACTTTCCTGCTCCAAAAAGAGCTATAAATTCTAAACTGGCTGGACCACCGTTGCTGCTGAAAAGCACAACCTTGAATGCTTGTAACATTTGAAATTGTCTTGACAAGACACTTGTTGTGCCATAGCTCTTGGCGTATAAATTAATGTCATGTCGCTTCTTAAAAAAAAATAAAATCCTTTATTTAAAAAGTGATTTTGTTGGGGGTCTGTTGTAATAGGTCCCATTTAATTTTGGGTACTGTTTAAAATTTTCTGAATTAAGGATTCTGGAAAAATGAGTTGCATGTTCTTGGATCATACATTGAAAGCACTAAGTAAGTGGCATAATTGTTGCTAGCATTATGGGCAGCAAGAAGTTCAACTCTAACTGCATGTAAACACGCATTTTCCTGTGTAACATGGGCTGATAGGTCAGCATTAGTCATTTTTTGTGTAATTCAAAGGCATAATGTGCACGACTTACACTCACAAAAGTTTCACTTCATGCAGAAGTGTTTCAGGGTCCTGTATGTAGACTATGGCAACCGATGCACTATGGATAGCGCCTCCCTGCGGCCATTGCCTCCTGAGCTTGCAAGCGTTCCAGCTTGTGCCCTCCGCATGTCTCTGGCAAATGTTTGCCCAATCAAGGGCAACAAGTGGGACGAGGCTGCAATCGTATTTTTTGTTGGTCTGACTGGCTTCAACCTTCCCCTCGTTGCCGAGAAAAAGGGTCACCGACGCACTGGGTAGGACATGTCTACATCTTCTGCTGACAGTTATCAAACCACATTGTGCTCGTGATGCTTGCAACCTCCATATAGATTGCTCAATGCAGATTATTTTCATACGTTCGTTTGAGTCTGATATCAAAAGTGCTGATCAATAGAAACTCGCCTTTCTGTAATGCAAGACCCTCAACTTTACAATTTTATGTGTACTGAGATGTAGACAGAGAGCTGAAATAGTAATGGGTTGCTGCAACACGAGCTATCTTAAGTTTGAAGCAGATGCCCTCTTACGGGGTGTTTTTTTTTTCTTTTCAAACTTGCTGGCATAGCTATTTGTGTAAGTGGAAAAAATTCCCCGCCGCGGTGGTTTAGTGGTTATGGTACTCGGCTGCTGACCCGCTGGTCGTGGGATCTAATCCTGGCTGCGGCGGCTGCATTTCTGATTGAGGTGTGGTTGTTGTAGACCCGTGTGCTCAGATATGGGTGCAGTTAAAGAACCTCAGGTGGTCAAAATTTCCGGAGCCCTCCACTACGGCGTCTCTCATAATCATATGGTGGTTTTGGGACGTTAAACCCTACATATCAATCAATTGTGTAAGCTGAAAAACAAAAAGTACTTATAGGGACACAGTCTCGTCCACTGACATAATGGTTGTGTACAGGTACTACCTATCGAGTGCTTAATGGTGGAAAGTGTTCTGTCCTTTCATTAAGCAAATAGGCTGTACTAGTAACAGAATGCATTGGTTGTGCAGATCACAATTCCTCTCCAAGGGGTCACAAAAATAAATTTTTCCTCTTGTGCTGATGCTCGAAACTGTTATACACTTAACTTGCTTAGGATAGAAAACTGACAGTTGGTATGGCTTCTCTCAACTAAGGTCTATTTCCTCGTTCTAGCGAGGAGCATTAATTTAACTTGGTTTGCTTCTCTTCGTAAGTTAGGGTAGTTTGGTGGCTACGTGTTCATTCTGACTAGCGCATTGTCACAGGTTCTGATGCCTTTTTTTTTCTTAGGAAGTCTTTGTAGCTCTTTTCAAAGTTTTTAAGCACAGTCAATAAGCAATTGTCCAAAATTATTTTCTTTACGTGAAAAGAAAAATTACCAAGTGTAAACTATGCATATAACTTCTTTGAACGAGCATCTGCTTTGAACGAGCAACTTCTTTGAACACTGTTTCACCTGATTTCTGCAAAGTATTCGGCTTTTCTCTCTATATTAAGTTGGTGACAAGCTACTATAATAAACACACAGAAGGAAAGATATGGTAAACCACCGTTACACAGCATGGCTGAGTGCAGTTTTTTTTACAAGCAGTGTGAAGTTAGAGACAAGCTACAAGGGAATCTCGTTAATGTGTTATTCAAAGGAATCTGATAATAAATTGTAGTATTATCATGTCATATTTATACTTACCAAAATGGTACAAAGAAAAAGAGGAATATATGCATTCTCCATGGGCAACTCACTTTTACTAAGCAACATTATTGTAGCTGGTCCATTTGCTCTGTACTTTCCTCTTTTCAATGTTTAGAAGCAAATCCTTCTGAAGCGTAACAAAAGAAGTTGCAGGTGTCTCACTCAGCTCGGAATTTGTGACAAAGTAATGAAATGCATCCAAATGTTCAAGTGCACTGCTTGCTGTTGAACACGGGTTGCCAAAACTCTCTCCAGTTTCGTGTCTTAAATCGGTGAAGCCAGCCGCTAAACCCATGTTAGAACACAGTTTGAGCAATTATACCAAAAAATAAATGTAAGATTTTTTATATATCAGCCAGGATCTACTTTCATGGTCGTATTGGCCAATTTCAGGCAAGAATGTGATTGTATGAAAGGCATGAAAAATGCATTTTCGAAGAAATTCACCCCAGAATAACAAGGAAAGCACAGTGTGCAGAATCGTATCGAGATCTTACTGGATAATAAACGCGCAGAAGAAAAGACATGATAAACCACCATCACATAGTATGGCTATGTGCAATTTTTTGTAAAAGCAATGCGACTTGACAGGCCAGGTAGGTACACATGGTCCACAGGCAGGCCCATGCACTCTGCAGCACATGTCCTACATGTTGTGTGCTTATTTGAAACATGCTTTATTAGTTAGCAATAAATTTTTTAGTTTACTTTATCAAGAAAAACAACCTTATTTTATGGATACAGTAGAGCTCTTTTATAAGAGACACTAGTATGAGAGACAAAGGGTATAAAAGACACCCGTGTGCCTACAGTGAAATGCAGGTTGAGAAGAAAATGCATATAGGGTACCCTGCTTATGAGAGACAGCTGATATAAAAGAGAAGAATTGTTGTCTGTAGCACGTTTTTCATAATGGTGTTCATCTGTAATTGTCTAATACCAAACTTTGCTATTCATTGCTATCGGTGCTTTACCATTTTGGTGAAACCGCCTTTTCTTTTTGAATTCATGGTACAGCCAGTTTAGGTTTAGTGTTGTCATTCCTGTTGTTATTAGGAGCACTGCTGAATCTTTATAAAGCATCACAAGGAAGGACAAATGTATCTTGTTGTGAGATTGTCGAGATCAGGCAATAAGTGTCATTAGTGTATGAAGTGTTTGTAAGTATCTGCCATTTTATTCTTTCAATACACGGAACTGCTTCATTTCCCGATTTACTTTTGTTAAAATATTTTTCAGGTTTGAAGATATCATGGAGGTCACGCTGTGGAACAGGAATGACCCAGTTCTAATAGCATCACAGCTGTGCTTGTTGAGAAGGCTGTTGCAGTGCTGAAGAAGGTTTCACTGGGAATGTGAAATTTGGGCACCAGTAATTGTTGTAGTTATCCAAGTTCATATGCATACTTTTGCTTAGTGTTGTGTTCAAGGCCGATCGCCTCTTTTTCTTCTGACCTGTTTTTTTAAATGAAGAATTAGCATATGCACTACAACAAAGCTTCTTCTGGCTGCCTTAAAAAAAAACTCTTTAATACCATTGGGGATTTTGAAGTTCACTTTTTTATGTCAGTCTTGCTGTGTGTGTTAGCTTTACCTTTGTTAAAATTTTTATGTGGAGCCCATATGCATACTTTTGCTTAGTGTTGTGTTCAAGGCCGATGGCCTCTTTTTCTTCTGTCCTGTTTTTTTTATGCAGAATTAGCCTATGCACTACAACAAAGCTTCTTCTGGCTGCATTAAAAAAAAACTCTCTTTAATACCATTGGGGACGTTGAAATTCACTTTTTATGTCAGTCTTGCTGTGTGTGTTAGCTTTACCTTTGTTAAAATTATGTGGAGTCCTGCCAACATTGTTCAGGGTGTTATTTTGAATGTGAAAATTCAATAAACTGAAATCCAGGGCAGGCTAATGATGCTAAGACACTTCATAAATAGTTTTGAAGACTTGCATATTATATTTATTAATTGCAAGTTATTTTAGCTTCTTTCATTCATGTTTTGTATTTCTTTGTACAACCGTGAAAGTAGGTTTACTGCGGCAAAGAAACATTTTGGCAGTCTCAATAGGCTTCATTTGAGTCGGAAGTTTCATAAAGATGCACCCTATACTTTTCAAAACCATTCATCTTTTGCAGTAGCAGCAAGTGGTGGCATGCTAGTTGTGAAATTACCATTCTTTAATTTGGTTGTATTTTTCAAGCAGTCTGTTTGCACATGTTGTCTTGCCTCTGTAAAAAAGACATATATGTCAGTGAATAACACATGCAAACTGCACACAACCAAATAACATCATTTACGGGTACCAGTTGGGAGTTGAATAACCAGAAGGCATATTCACTATATTTGTCATCTGCTTGTGTTTGAAGTAGCCTTTGCAGTAAATATATACCTCAGTTATCTGTGATACACCTCATGGCACCTTAATGCAATTTTGTTGTTTTTGGAAGCCCTAATACCACCTTGCTTTGACATGTTTTTGTATGTCACTTTATTTTATATGTGAAGTACTGTGTCGCATTTTGTACTGCAGATGTCATATAAGCATGTGTGTAATATTGCCCGGTTGAATGAGCTGTTGAAACATGATACTTACCGTCTGTTTTCGTAAGCTTCACTCTGAAGAGGCATCCTTTTGACTTATTCCTGAGGTATGCTGAGCACTACATCTTCGTGTTTTAACATTCTGCCAACAAAAGAACATGTGATGTTATGTTATGCCATCAAGACAGACAGACAGACAGACATCAGGATGTACGTTGGCCCAAATGTGGGCCGGGAACCATGTTATGGTGTGAAACCCGGCAGCCCCCTCACAGCCGAGGATGGCCGCTGCCTCACGCGAGATCGAGCCCGAGGCGAAAGCCCTAGCTGCGGAACGCGAATCTGTAAAGACATTAGGACGCGATGGATCCTTCATTGCTATGGCGATGGCGATTTGCTCAGCCACCATTGCCGAAACCTTTCTAACCGAGGCAGAGCATAGGAGTGTGCCACTATGATCGACCGAGACCACTGCGAAGCGATCCGAACGCCCGTACTGGGCTGCATCGACAAAGGTCGCGAGATGCGGTCTGTTTGCAACTGATTTTAATAAGGAACGGGCCCGAGCTATGCGGCGCCCCACACTGTATTGTGGGTGGACATTTCTTGGAAGTGGAGCTACCGAAAACGTGCCTCTGATTGAGGGTGGTAGTGTTACATTACGCTGGTTAGTCTCCGTAGGACCGCAGCCTATGAATTCCAGGATGCGCCTACCAGCCCTCGAGGACGATAGTCGCACGACCTGAGCCATCTGCTGGGCCTCGATCACCTCCGAGAGGGAGTTATGCATGCCCAATTGTAGGAGCTTCTCGGTGCTAGTGTGGATAGGCAATCCTAGAACTCGCTATATGCTTTTGCGCATTAGTGTATCAATTCTTGCCTCTTCTCTTTTGGACCAGCGCAACGCCGAAGCGACATAATTAATGTGGCTCATGAGAAATGCATGATAGAGCCGAAGGAGATTGCTCTCGCTCAGCCCACCCCTGCGGTTCGAGACCCTGAGTATGAGCCTAAGCATGTTCTCCGTCTTGGAGGTGATGCGGGCTATAGTTCGTGAGTTGCCCCCCTTGGACTCTAGCAGGAGTCCGAGGATCCTGATGGAGTCCACCCTGGGTATTTTCTGCCCATCCCGTGTGTATAAAGCTATGGGAATCTGTTCTAAAGGAGTGAGGTTCCTCAGTCCTTGTCGGGTGGGTCTGTATAGTAGTAACTCACACTTTGCCGATGACAGGCTCAGGCCCGAACCGACTAGAAAGTTCTCCGTGATGTCTAATGCCTCTTGAAGCGCCTGCTCTACTTCGGCGTCGGACCCTCCCATGCACCACACGGTGATATCGTCCGCGTAGAGAGCATGGTTAACCCCGCGCACCGTAGCGAGTCGCTCCGAGAGGCCCTTCATGGCAATATTGAAGAGTAGAGGAGAGATAACTGCCCCCTGTGGGGTGCCTCTCACTCCCAAGGTAAAGTCCGTGAATTGGATTTGACCGATCCTAATGGTAGCCCTGCGATCCCTGAGAAAAGACCTAACGTATGCGTGGAACCGTTGTCCTAGACCCATAACCGAAATTGCCTCAAGCACAAACTTGTGCGAGATATCAAAAGCTTTGGCTAGGTCTAGAGCTAGTATGCCTCTAGTATCCCTGGTGTTGTTGTCAATGATTTGTCTTTTGATAAGGAGCATCACGTCCTGTGTGGATAGTGCAGGTCTGAATCCTACCATATTGTGTGGAAATAGCTCTCGGCTTTCTATGTACTCGGATACCCGATGGTGAATCGCATGTTCGGCCACCTTGCCTACGCAGGACGTAGCCTTTGCAGTAAATATATATACCTCAGTTATCTGTGATACATCTCGTGGTGCCTTAATGCAATTTTGTTGTTTTCGGAAGCCTTAATACCACCTTGCTCTGACATGTTTTTGTTTGTCACTTTGTTTTATATGTGAAGTACTGTGTGGCATTTTGTACTGCAGATGTCATATAAGCATGTGTGTAATATTGCCCTGTTGAATGAGATGTTGGAACATGCTACTTACCCTCTGTTTCGCTAAGCTTCACCCTGAAGAGGCATCCTTTTGACATATCCCTGAGGTATGCTGAGCACTACATCTTCGTGTTTTAACATTCTGCCAACAAAAGAACCTGTGATGCTATGTTATGCCATCAAGAGGGTCAGAACTGCCAACACTTACCCTCCTCTTTGTTCTCTATGGGTCTCTAGGGCAGCACATATCTCATTCCATGCATAGGGAACATCCTCATGTTCTGTTGGTCAACTACAAAGATCAAATCTGAGAACAAACATGTCGCTAAGCTTTGTTGGAGTGAGATAAATCATCCTGTGCTTGTGAAGTGTGTGCAGCAAATCTTCATTTTCGGCACTGGAACCCTGTTAAGCAAGAATTATAAGATGTGGCAAGGGTGGCATAGTTATAGCATGCATTTGTCAATCAACTTCTAAACTCACTTATATTCACTGTATTTGTTCCAAGTGTTTGTAAAATAATTAAATTTTGAAATGTTCTTTTTAGGAAAAAAAATTCTGCTTTTGCCCCCCGAAAATTTCTGCCTGCCCCCCTTTGCTCTCCCCTCAAGAGCAAGCACGTTTCAAGCCTCCCTGTCCCTCTGAAGGAATTACTTTGGGTAGCTGCTACAAGCACGCTTGCAGGTACCCACTTCGCCATAAATCATAATTTTATTGACGTGATGTAAGGAGATTGTGCATGATTAGACACGGGCTACTCCTTATTTCTTAGAGGTTTCTAATAAACTCCCTGCTTTTTCTTCTCTACCATTATCTCTATAACAAAGCTCACGTAGGGTATAGGAAAGCATCCACTATGCCATGCTTTGTCATTCTTCGGAGCTACGTACTTGGAAGGAATTTTGTGCAATTTTGTATGCTGTAACTGATGTAGATGAATTATGCCTAAAGCTTTTGTATTAGGGTGGGGGTTGGAGCATTCGATGACCCACTCTGCTCGTTGTGCCATTCGCATTGTGTAACGCCGGGTTGTTCCTTTGCAGTTCGAAAATGCTTTGTTAGTCATAATAACGCAATTACCTTTCCGACATCAAGCCTGCCTTAGGCCAGTTTGCAACAGTTTCAAGCACCAGCGTGGCTCAGTGGTAGAATACTGAGCTGACGCCAACGCAGAAGACCTGTGTTCGAATCCCATTGTGTCCTTTGTGTTTTTATTTAGTTTTTTTTTCACGCTATAGTGGCGATGGAGATGGACTGGTCTCGTAACACATTTCCTGTAATATGGCGACGCACGAAATCGCGGCGCAACCAAATGCATGTTGCTGACCGTTGCCTGGAGTCAGGACTGTTTTTGTGTTCTCAATAATTATTTAATGAGGCATATTTTATGAACTAACTTTGAAGAAACAAAACTGGGTAAAAATTCTAATAAGAAAGTTATAGATTGGTTTGTAAAACATCTGATTAGACAATTTTAAACCTTACACCTGTATAGTTATTAGTGTTTTTCTGCTATCTACAAATGCCTGCAACATACAAAAAATATCGCGTGACAAGCCCGCTCGCGTGTCATCGCTGTTTAATTCATATGTACGCAGCAATGGCGTAGTGATTTATAGTATCAGCCTCGCGTGCGAAATGTCCGTGGTTCGAATGCTGGTGCCACGCAGTTCACAACCGATAGAATTACATCAAGAGGCCTGGGGCGCGGCCTCACTGGTGACTACCGCCACCCTGGTGCCGTTCTGGCCACTACCTCCCACATGAATATGTCAACACACGGCCCTCAGTCCCCAGCAGCTGCGAAGCAGCTCACCAGGGCAGCGGTCAGATCTGCAATGCAGCAGAGGGTGCTAAGAATCTCTGGGTCCGGACAGGCCGCCATTGAAACCTGAACTTGGCAATGTTTAATGCTAGAACCTTATCTAGTGGGGCATTCTAGCTGTACTATTTGATGAGCTAGAAGGAATTAAATGGAATGTAATAGGGCTCAATGGAGTTAGGAGGGCAAATTAGGCCTACACAGTGCTACAGAATGGGCACGTCCTTTGCTATTGTAGCTTGGCTGACAGAAGAGAACTTAGCGTGGGGCTTCTTATCCACAGAAATATAGCTGGTAACATAGATGAATACTATAGCATTAATGAAATGGTGGTAGGTATCGTAATTAAACTTGATAAGAGATACAAGATGAAGGTGGTTACAGACTCGCGCGCCTACATCCAGCCATGAAGCCCCACTAGTTGAAAGCTTCTATGAGGACGTGGAATTGGCAATGAGTAAGGTAAAAATACAGTATACTGTACTGATGGGTGTCTTCATTGCCAAAATAGGGAACAAGCAGGCTGGAGATCAGGCAGTAGGAGAATTCTGGCATCGGTACTAAAAATGCCAGAGGGAAGGTATTAGTCTAGAATTTGCAGAATGCAGTAATTTACGAATCCCAGATACCTTCTACCAAAAACGAGGGAACTGTAAGTGAACATGGAGGAGACCTAATGGATACTGTAAGTGAACATGGAGGAGACCTAATGGATAAAGTAAGAACTAGATAGACTTACTGAGTGAAGTGCTTGGCAAGGTACGATATATGTGGTGACCATAGAATGGAAAGATCTGGAATGCGCCAGGACTTGAAGAAGAAACGACAGAAACTGATATGTAAGAAGCCACATATCCAGCTTTTTTCTACTCATAGAGTTACCGTATATGCTACTGGTAACATATACAGTAACTCTATACACCTTTTTACAGGAAGGAAAAAAAACAGCGCCATGATGGGCTGTGTGCGGGGGTACAAGGCTAAGGGCGCAGCGTTTTCGGTGCATTTTCGAGGGGACGCGCCAATTTGCATAGTCCAAGGAGTGCTATGGCAGCACCCAAAAAGTCGTTTATGAAAAGGTGAATAGATGGATGGATGAATATTGCTGTACCGTTTAGACTGGGCGGTGACTAGCGCCACCAAGCTGTAACACCTAATGAACCAAAAACTAGAATTTGTTTTTCTTTAAATAGTGAGGTTGAGGATTCGTACTCTCCAGTGAAGGGTTCAATTTGCACTCGTGCCTTGACTTTAGCCACCAATCGGATAACCTCCTCCTAGTTAATTCTACCCGCCCAAAGTTTATTTTGCCCTCCCTGTTCCTAAACCCTAGTGCTTTGAAAAATTCTGCGCCATCATGCTGAACTATAAGGTGAAGCCCTTTACAGAGCATTATCAGGTGTTCGGAAGTTTCCTCTTCCTCTCCACATGCACTGCATAGCGTGTCTACCCCTTCGCATTTGGCCCGATATGTCTTGGTTCCCAATACTCCTGTCCTGGCCTCAAACAATAGAGAACTACCCCGAGTATTATCATAGATCCTTTCCATGGCAATTTCCTGCTTAAAAGTTCGATAGATCTCTAGTGCGGACTTCTTAATCATGCCAATTCTCCACATATCGGTCTCAGCTTCCTTCACCTTCTTTTTAACTGATAATTATTTTTGGTTTGGCCCCTGCTTTTTCTAAGTATTTACCAGTCAATTTTCTGGTTCGCTTCCTCGATTTTGTATCGACATTCTTCATGTACAAGTATCTGGATACCTTCCTAGCCCAACTCTCCTTCCCCATTTCTCTCAATCGCTTTCCAAATTTTATCTTGCTGCTAGCTTCCCTGCCCTCAAATGATGTCTATCCCATATCACCCTGTACTCCCTGATTTGGTGTATTCCCTTGAGCTCCTTAGACAAGCCTACCTATTCCACGCTGCTTAATTTCTAATCTTGCTTGAGCTCCTTATCTCATGCATAAGACCACATTGCCAAACGTCAGACCAGGCACCATGACCCCTTTCCATATTCCTCTCACATCATCACACCTATTGTAATTCCACAGTGCCCTATTTTTCATCACTTCTGCATTCCTGTTACGTTTAGTCATCACGTATATTTCGTGTTCCCTTAGGTACTCGGTCCCATTGCTTATCCATACGCCCATATATTTATACTTATTAGTTATCTCTAGCGTGACCTCCTGTATTCTAAGCTCACTACCTTCGTTATCAATAAAAATCATGGCTGCTAATTTTTCCTTACTGAATTTAAAATCTGACCTATCTCCCTCATTACCGCAGATGTCCATCAGTCTCTGCAAATCTTCCTTGTTGTCGGCAATTAGCACTATATCTTCTGCGTACATTAATGCTGGTAGTACCTGATCAATGAGTTTTCCTTGTTTGACTAAAGAGAGGTTGAAGCCAAGTCCACTTCTCTCTAATTTGTCCTCTAAT